ATCCATGGCGGGTCTAGCAGCTCATAAAGCTCATGTCACTGATCCTGTGTTAGCTGAGGAAGTTACCTGATTGTTTGCTGGTCGCTTTTGTTAGCGGTGCTGCAGATATGTTGCAGAAGTTCTTGCAAGCGTGTTAGTTTGGCAGTGTTTGGTCCTGAGAATATTTTTTTCTCGGTGATGATGACGTCCATTTATTGAGGACTGCTTTTCCATGTTGCCACTTTTCGTATTGTTCCTCATCTTCTTCAATTCATAACCCTTCTCACCATTCTTTTTCAATATTTGATTGTACCACTTGGAAGCCTCGTATGTTTCTTTACATGTTGCTCTCCTTCCTATTTTAATCTTGTTTCATCAGTTGCTCCATTCTTATTGTAATCTTGAACTTCACTGTTCTTTCAAAAGCAAAAATTGAAAAACAAATGATGCTGTGGTGGTGCCTTGGTGGACACAGCATTCTTTGGGTCACATGATGATGGTGGTATGTGCTGGTAATGTTCACTGTTAAGTTCTAAAAGGGAAGCTTAATAGATCAATTCAGTTTAATAAATATATATTATATAGTTCAATTCAATATCGGATGGACTCGCAATGAACACAAAACAAAAAAAGCAAAAACGAAAACAAAAATATTTTATTTGGAAATTAATAGATATTTATTGTCATTTCATGTTCATTTCTCAAAGAAATCTAACGGAGCCCACTTTCCTTGCACACCCATCAATCGCGTTGCCAAATACAGGGGTTTTCGTTCCCCAAAAGTTGGAAATATTAGCATGGATGGCTGTGGTGGGACTTTTCGGATGTGTGCAAGTGTTGAAGGTGTTTGCTTTGCTACTTCATGACTCTAAATTTGGGTGGATGCCTTTTAATTACTGACCATTAATTAACTATTAACTACAATACTAAACCACTTCTGTTTTTTCCTGTAGATTATCCATAATGAAAAACTGTCAAATTGTTTTTTTACCCTTTATTTTTTAATTTTGAAAGTTTTATGTGAGGGGTAAGCACCCGTAAATTTATCATTCTTAATTTGTTTGGGGTAGTATCATCTTTTTATTTTTTAATAACAAAATTATCATATTGCTACTATAGAGCAAACAATCAGAACCTTTGGTTTAAATATCGTGTTATGATTTTAAATTATAAATATAAATTTAAAAATTATAAATATACTGGAAAAAAATAAAATAAAACTATGATTATTATTTTGTAAGTAATAATGCAAATTCATACAAATTGTGAACGAAACAAAAACATGAAATAAATAAAAAATGAAAACTAATGAAGATACTAATTTGACTCTTAAATAATCTCAATATAACAAAAACAAACTAATTTTGTCAAAATAATCAGTGGACAAATGTTTTAAAACTTGACACAAATATAACATATTATGTAATTTTAAAGCACTGCAATTGAAACGAGATCTAACAATATCATAATGACCTAAAATTAGATATATAGTATCCTAATACCCAATACACTATATATCTTAGTTTATAAATTGTTATCATATGTCCAGGTATAGAAACTCATATATGAACAGTTTGTGGCAAAATTAAATATTTAATTGAAATCTTAAAAAAACGATATCAAAATAAGCTCAAATTTAATATATAGTGCAATCACCCTCATTAGTAAATATATAAAATTTAAATAAATTCTGAGATGATTTGCTTAGAGTTTTTTTATGAATTGTGTTTTTGCAGCAGAATTGCAACAAGTTTTGAATAGCTTCTCTTTTTTTTTTATCTTTATCTTTTTTAATTTTATACTATTGATATATTAGAGATAGTAACAAAATGAAATATTGATATTTTTTTTACTATTATACTGCATACCTAAAGAAAAAAAAAGATTGACACAAACACCAATAACTTAACTAACACTAGGAAAATGAAATTTTCATAAAGATATGACATGTTCTTAGAGCCTAACTTTGATGTTAACTGATGTGAATTTTATGATCTCATGGTCATACAACCCATAATCAAGATTGAGATTTCATGGTCACACAACCCATAATCAAGATTGAGATTTGATCCCGGAAAGATAAAAGAGGTTTGATAGGAGTGTACATAATGAAAACATGCCTCAAGGCATCAGTAAAAGAGGTTTGATAGGAGTGCACATAATGAAAACATGCCTCAAGGCATCAGTGCTATCAGAATGAAGTCAAATGACGCCACAAAACAAGTTAATCTTCAATAAGTTAGATTTAGCTCGTTTAAGAACCAAAGAATGCAAAAAACTCTCTCACACGTTAAAACTGAAAAGTTCAAAAGTATTACTCATCAATGACTCTGAAATTTAGGCCTAAGTGTGTTTAAATAGTTCTAAAAAATTAATTCTAATGGATTTACTCTTGTGGTTTGAATTGACTCACATATAAAAACTGATCCAAACTACAATCCAAATAAGTTTAAAATCCTAATTGAAAACAAAGTATTAATTAAGCTCAAACAAACTTTGCGTTTTAGCTAACAAAATAAAAATAATGTTCATAAGTTCTAAGTTTTTATCTACCATAATAAGAGAAAAAGAAAAGAAAACATTGTAGGTTTGATATAAGACTTAATAATAAAGAAAAAAAAAACATTGTAGGTTTGATATAAGACTTAATAATAGCTTATAATGCTACCTAATAATCCTAGAAACTAAAGAAAAAGTTGTTGCCTCTTTCGTTTACAAGTTAAAATATAATTTTGATTTCAACCTTGTATTTACACGTTTTTTAAAAATAAAAAAATGCTGCATTTAATGTTTATCTTTGTTAGTTATTGATATCCTTTCAGTATTAGAAACAAATAAGGATAGATTGAGAAAACATTGTTATGTTGATTAATAGCTTTAATCATCTTAACAAGTCAACTCTTAATTTACACAAAATGAAATGCCTGGCATTTTATAAAAAAAAGAATTGTCCTCCATCCTTTATATGTGTAGGAACCTATATGGGAATACCGAATATGGACTCCCATACATGGTTCTTGCTTAATGATGATAATAGGTATTTACCGGTAATGTTTCTGTTATATTCAAATCTTAATGGAATAAAAAATTTAGATATTTATATTTTATTTATTAGATTTTGATTATTCATTACTTGAGTATTATGTATTATTCAATATATAATGTAATAATAATATATGTATTTAAGGTATGTATAATGACAAAATTATAATTGTTATACATGTGTATATTTAAATGTGGAAAATATTTATTACAAAATCATATGTAAGAAAATGGGAAATGAAATTTGTTCACGTAAAAATATTTATAATATATTAAAGAAAAAAGTGTGTTTTGAAAATGATATATATATATATATATATATATATAATTTTTCTAGGAACACAACAGCTATAATCTAAACACCATTTTTTTTTTCAATTTTCTGACTAAGAAAATATCTGGAAACTTAAAGAAATAAACATGTTATATGATTTTTTTAATAAAAATAAAAACTTGTGAAGGAATAGAAAATTGAAATTGAAAAATAAAAAATATTTTTATTTATCTAAACATCCCCTTAATCTTTCAATTTGCTAAAAAAAAATGGAATCAGACAATAAGATAATACATAGGATTGTTTGTCTTTGTTTCTTTTTTCCATGAGCTGTTGGGACAGAACACAGGGAATCGAACATGGATCTTTCTTCTCAAGTACTATAAAATCCTTCCTGTTTGTATGGTAGATTGATAATTTTACTTGAACAAGGTATGTTCTTCAATATTACTATCGAGGAGTTGAACAAGGTATGTTCTTCAATATTACTATCGAGTATGAAATGTTTAGCTTGTAAGTAGATAATTTTATATATCATGGTAATTTTATAATTAAAATTAAAAAAAATTATATAAAGATACTAACATATATTAGCAAAATTATGTAACATGTTAAAGTTAAAGTATAAATTATAAGAAAGAAAGTACTTGTTAAAGAAATTAAAATATGATCTACCTTTGATGTTGTCGATGATTAATATTAGGGGCAAAAATAATATGTTTGTAATATTTTTTTTTAAATTTCAACACCATCAGGTATATCTAAGAGGAGGAGGAGGAGAAGGAGGAAGAAAAAGCTTAAAAAGAAGATAACAAGCTGAAAACAAGAGAGATGATGAGTCTAAAAAAATGTATAAAAATCTCTTCCTTCAGCCTTCTTTTACGATGAATTTTGAAATAAAAACTAATAAAAAACTAAATCTAGTACAGAAATTAATTGCAGTAAATGCAGAATTAATTTTTCTATTACCGGCTTTAATTACTCATCATAAAACTATAATTAATCTTGTCAGTTTTGATTTTAATTTTGATGATTTTAAACTGAAAATATCTAAATATAATTCAAGTTATTGAAGAAATTGATTAGATTTTATTTATGGGTTGGACAATTAATGGGCCAGCCAAAATAATTATTTATGAAATAAAAAATTATTTTATAATAAATTTATATTTATATTTAAAATAAATTAGCAATAAATAAATCCAAAATTAAGAGAGACCATGGACTCATAAGGCGAAGGCCAAGTAAAGCATGTGTAGATGGTTTAAACCCTCACTACTTTACAAAAAATTATTTATGACTCTTCAACTTTTTACTATATAAACTAGGAATAAATGGTCAAATATTTTACAAAAACATGCTTACTAAAAATTATAATTTTTTATTCATAATTTATTTTAGTCATATTAATAAATTTGATTGGAGAACAATTTCAAATACGATGTTAACCTTTGATGATATTTTACATCTAGTCTTAAATGTTGCCATTAAACATGTTAAATTAAAACAAATTAGATAAATAATAACTCTATGTCGCATAATTACCCATCTCTATTTAATCCAAGCAACAATCCGTGGGACACATTTTGTCTCTTGTGCGAGCAAGAACAAATAAGCAGTGCAATGTGACCATAAATTATCCCATATCTTCTTTTCTCTCCTAATTTCATTGGGTCTCTAGAAGACGTAAACAGAAGCAAGGAAGGTGAGCAGCATATAATGTAACTGCACAGCATTGTATGAGGGTTCTTATTGCAGAATAAAACTGGAAAACAATTCTTCAATTGGAAATCCCCCACATGGTATCACTCTCTTGTCATGGTTACAAGCATCAACATCACCTAAATACTACGGCAATAGCAAATCCTTCAGGGTAGTTCTCAGAACAGCTGCTGGTTTTTCCTGCAACACATAAAACAGCATATGAAAGCGGGGGTTTAGAAATGTAATAACAAATCTTTTTTAAAATGTTTTTTGTTTGAAAATATATTAAGACAATATTTTTTTATTTTTATTTTTAAATCAACATATTAAAACTAAACATAGTATACTAAAAAATTATTAGTGTTATTGTTCATGAAAGCAACAAGCAACAAGATCAATTCTATAATATAGGATGATAGGATGAGTGTGGTTAGCAAATAAGCATTGCTTTCCTTTATTTACCTCGTGAATATTTTCTTTACGAGAAGATGTGAGAGAATGATCAAGCAGCCGCCCTCTTTCATCATAGAGAATAACACCACTATACCTTGGAAGCTCACATTTCTCTCCCATCAGTATAGGCCTTTGCCACACTGCTGACAAAGACTCAGGGCTTTGCCACCCCATGCTTGACTCACACCTTTCTGACCCAAGAACCGGTGGTGGCAGCAGCATCCCACTGCCACTCCCACTTCTTCTCTCATCCCATTTGCTTGCTCCACTCCACCTCATTGACTCCATCAACACTCTCCTTATTGTGATCCAATTGTTAGAGCCAGGCTCGGGCTCAGACCTCCGTATTGAAAAATCTGTGCTTGGGTCTTGGTTCACTGCTCTTTGCTTTGTTTGGGCCTTCCTCTTTAGCATGATTGCAGCGCAAAGCGCAATGACTGCAAGGGCTGTGCAAACAAATAAGAGAACTGCTTCTTGGGTTGTCAGCTTCCATTCGTCCTCCAAATTCCACAATGCTTCCATAACTGATTAGTATGAGTGTGAGAATGGATGTTACTGATGATATCTATCATGCTAGGTTGCTGAGCGTGTAGCTTGGCTATATCCGGGTGTGTGTGATGACCTTCACGTGAGGTCCACCGCTAGCTGGGGTTAGGCCTAGTGGTTGCTCATGTGTAGTGTTCCCTTGTATTCTAGCCGTGGGAAGTATCTCACCGATTTGAGCTAATTAAAGCACCTCACGAGGGATATATGTATGATATGCAAACCATACATGACACAGATGCTTGCCTGCCTTCTGTGTGGTTCGAGATGGCCTGGTTTAATTGACTACTAAGCTATGGGACGAATCACTTACATGAAATTAAGAAAATAGTCAGAGCCGATTCTCACATCATCCCAAGTCTGAGTGCTCTATGGAACTTTCAAAATCCGCATCTTGTATTGCTGTAGAGACACCCCATTATCATCCACGATCGCTGAAATTCAAGAACATGCAAATTGGTACACAGAATCCTCTCCCCCTTTAGAGTATCTTTAGCCGAGCACATCCTAAGCTTCTAATCATTGACAATAATGAAGCAAAACACCATCGACCATTACAGTATGTGACTTGCAATTCTTAGCATGCAATATATAGAAACAAAAACAATTGACTTGGTCTTTCTTTCCACCTGGAATTGATCCACAAGAGAACAAATCTGCAGTTTGAAAGTAGTCAAGCTATGTCTCACTTAAGAGGAAAGTTTTGAACACGAGGGAGGCAGAGGTAGATGCAATTGAAAGGTATCCGTTCCTACCACATTGCGAAAAGACTGGTAGAATACGGGTTAATGCTTGTTGCTGTCTTCATCTCGCTCCCCTGCAAGACCATCCTGGGCAAAGCCACCAACCTGACACCTGCTAGGATGAGGGATGATTGCCACCTTGTAAACAAAACAACCAGCAAGACAAGTTTGGAAAGATCATAGAAGCCTGGGTTTAGAAACCTGTACTAATCATCATCAATTAATACCAAACCTTCTAAATCTGTCTAGCTCAACAGAATAAACTGCTTCTTAACCATAATTCTTGTACATTTGCAAACCAAACTCTTATTAACTGCATAAAATATAAAACGCCATCAAGATAGAAATCACTGGCTAGAATTTACCATTAAATTACTTAGAAGTCGACGGTGATCCTTGCCAACCAAATCTACACTGGACCAAGATATCCCAAGAATCCACCTAAGGGATTTTGCCACTTGGAGAGAAAAAGAAGAAAAGATTCAGATAATATACATTAAATCTGTAGTTTGTGATGGGACAATCAATAATATCTGAATTCAAAAAAAGGGTCAAATTAGCAGAGGAAATGTATCATGATATTGAAGGCAGAATCCAGCTCAACTCCTATCAGTTTCATTAGCTTCAACGAGATACACAGAGACAAAACTTAGGATGGTGCCATTTTCCGATCTTCATCTTGATGGAGGCCAAACTTCAATCTGGGGTTCTATTTTATCTTTCATTTTCCAAACATCGCACAAACAACTGGATCAATTTAGCATGGCATAGCTTCTCTACAAAGCACCCGTATTGCAAACTCTCACGCTCTTTTGAACAAGCAACAGGGACAGTAATTTACCTTAGAATGAAGAAAAGTAGAAAAATGTCAAGAATTCCAATCTGATACATTTTAATATCTTCTCTCTACATGTTGTGGGGCCTTCAAAGACAGTGAGCATCCTCGCCGCCACTGAACATAGAATAATATGACAATATGTATGCGTCAGCAAAATATGAGATTAGAAACAGTCGAATGAAGAAACAGATTAGAAAAGCATAGTGTGAAAAATACAGCTATGATTTGCAAGAATACACCCACTAATTTGCAACTTAATCAAGGTACTAAAAGGCTGCAAACACAGTGAGTTGTTTCCTTGTTTCAAAAAAGGTTTTCTACGATAAGTTCACCCTGTGAAATCAACGGCGCTGCTAACACAATAAGTGATTTTTCCACATACACTGCACAAAGCACACTAACACCATCACGATAGAATCAATACCTAGATTTTGTCTGTAAATTGCAGAAAGCACAGAATCCAAAACATTAAAAAATACCTTAGCTTCTAAGGAACCCAGATGAGAAAGGGAGCCATTGAAGCAATCAAGCAGAAGGAAAAAAAACAAAAAAAATTTGGACCATTTCTCGATTTGTGCGTGTCATCCTTGCGCAGGGGCCATGCTAATCTTCTCTGTATCGTTCCAATTTTATCGGATGTCCCCGAAGGGACAAGCTTAGCTGCAACACTTGTTACGTTAAAGCAGGAAGTGGAAGCGGCTCAGCATGCTTTGCAAAGGATTGCACATTGTGCGGATGCATTTCATTCAGACAAGGATATTCAGATGAGGGAATTGCATGGCAAGTCTGTAAGGATGGAGATGGATCTTCGTGGGGTGAAAACTATGCCGAATTATGAGCTTCATCTTGTGCGTGCTCTTCTATTTGGCTTAATGAAGTCATGCTGCTAACAATGACAGTTCATATCATTTTTTTGTAAGTAGGTTGGTGCCACTCTCTTGGTTGTTGCATATGATAAGCAGTCTTTTGTAATCAATCGTTGAGGCATTTCAAAGCCATGAAAATAGACTACATGGATTGTCTTCCGGTTATATTTTTTAAAACAATATGAATATTGCTAGCGTATTATACATTGTATTTCTTAGTTTACTTCTTTCTTCTTTTTCATCAATCTCATGGGACATGATTGATTGGTTACAAGCATATTACTATTTTATTTTTTATGAGTAAGTAATTTTTTATTTGTATTTTCATTCCCTCGATTTTGCTTCCCAAAACAAATCTTTTTAATTTCTTTTCTTTGTAAGTACACTAGTAACTTGGTGTCAATCTCTTGGTTGTTGCATATGATAGGCAGCCTTTTATAATCAATCGTTAAGGCATTTCAAAGTTATGAAAATAGACTACATGGGTTGTCTTCTAGTTTTGTTTTTTAAAGCAACATGAATATTGCCAATGTATTATAAGTTGTATTTCTTAGTTTACTTGTTTCTTCTTCTTCTTTCCTTGCGTGCTAGTTTTTGGGCACTTTCTGATCTTGGTAATGTAAGAGGGTGAAATACATTGAATGAAGGAATTGGCAATGATGATTTGACGTTGACTTAATTTGTAAACTCTATAATGCAAGAGTGATAAGCAGTCTAGAAAGCAGCATTTTGATAGGGTTACACTGCTGGAAGGATAGGGGAAAAAAATGTGCTGTGATGTTTATGGAGCTATATTGCTTATATGAATGTGTTGGTAGCATCATCAGTCATTTGTCTTGGCCATATCAGTGTTTCCTCTTGTTTTTTCTGGATAGGTGTTATAAGCAAATGTATTGAAGAATTGTCTTGCTTTTCGCTCACTCTGTGGTTCATATTTTTCTTTACCTGATAAAATCTAAAACTGGCATTTGTTTGTTGAGCTTAGAGGAGTGTCCATAGAATGATCATTAAATTTTCATCGATCCCTCCTACCTACACAACAATGCTGAGCTTAGAGAGTGTCCATAGTATTTTTTGACATTTATAATCATTGCATGATTCTTTACTATATATTTCTTAAGGAATTGGAGATGATTCGAGTTGCAAATTCTTCTGTTAGAAATCTAAGCCATGAATCGTTATTTTGTCCTCTCCCCTAAGTTGCATCCTTTACTCAAACATTAAACTTTGTTTATCAAATACAGGATGTTGATGGTGTGTTGACGTATATATAGTGTGTTTAATAAAGGTAATTTCCATAAAAACTCTAACAATTTTAGATTTGTTTAACACGAATTTTGATACTCCTGAAAAAAATTTAAAATTTACTCTATCCATTACATATATGTGTTTTAAGAAAAACAACAGCATAATACTCATAAGTAGCAATATGTATTTCAAAAGCCTCTTGATATCCTTACTTTTCTGGTTGGAGTTTGGTGGTTGTGGAGACAATGTTACATGGTTGCCTTTGCTAAGACCTATGAGAGTGCTGATTGGTTGATTAAAATGATCCTTTTCTTGGAAGATGATTGTCTCAGAGCATGGAGGCTGGACTAAACCCCAAGGATCCCTTCATTAATGTCGTGGAAGGCTATATGAAATTGGATGTTGTTGGCAGTTCCTTCAGGAATTCAGAGAGAGTTGGATTCGATGGTCTTATTAAAGACATGGAAGGTGCTTGGTTGGTAGGCTTCTCTAAGTTGTTAGCGATAAAACATGATCTTCGTATTTCTTGGGACTAGAGGAATGAAAAGGTTCTCTGCAACTCTATCTCCATAGATGCAACTTCATCTCCATGGACGTCATTCGTCTCATCTACGATGGAGAACAAGTTTTTCACTAGTTAATACCTCTTATCCTTTATATCAAAAGGCTACTGTTAAAACCTTGAGAGGTACAAATGCATCACACCCTCAAGGAGACCAACTCTTAAGCAAATTTTCTAGCCAAGAATGTTGCTAGAGGGATGTAAAGGTTCCAAATTTGGGATCATCCACCTCTAGGACTGAGCCATCTGCTCCTAGTAGATTCTTTGGGAATCTTGTTCACTAAGTCCTAATTGTCTTGTTTGTTTCTTTTCATTCGTACAACAAAAAAAAAGATTAATTCAGTGGAATAAGTACATTGTCATTTTAAAATTTGCTGAATTATAGTAGCATTATTGTAGCAAGCAATCCTTGTATTGTCTTGTTCATCCGGTAGGTTTTTTGATGTGATATCTTTTCTTATTTTTATATTTATTTTTTAACTGCTGAAAGGAAATATAAGAAAAAGAAAACGAATGATTTGAGACAATTTCTTTCTTGATGTTACCTAACTTATATTTCATTGACCCTAGTAGATGCATTGAGTGAGTTAACCCTAATCATGTTATTAGGATGCATTAATTATCTATGATGGCATAAGAATAACATCATCATCATTATTTTTATATTTTATTATTAATTTATATTATATTTATTATATTTTATTATATAAATATTGACTTTTGAATTCACAATTATGATTTTTTACTTGGTGTTAAAAAACACTTTAATAACATCTATATATTAATTATTTTACATTAAACAAAATTATTTGACTTTTAGCGATGAAAATTGAATAAACAAGTTAACATTTTTATTTATTTATTGGAATAGATAATTCTCGATATATTTAATTAAATATATGTATATATCTTTTTGATTTATAATTAAAATTTTAAAAAATATATTTAAAATGATTGTATATTTATTTTTTGTATAAAAAAATATATAGCAAAACACGAGTTAAATAACTAATTATTTTATATAGAGGAAGAATACATTAAATTATAACATCAAATATCATACCTCATGTATATTTATGCATGAAATACCTTGGGTGGGTTTAAAAATGAGTTGACAGGCAGAGGTGCGGTTTATCTTGCAAAACTCAAAAAATTGAATCGGGTATTTTTGTAAATAAGGGTATTTTCATCATGGAACAACCAGCTGCTCATCCTCAGTTCATCACTCTGTACTCTTTTTTTTTTTTTTTTTTTTTTTTTTCTGTCCAGCCACGACTTGATGAATCCAGTCTTAATTTATATAAATGGATTGAAACTGGACAATCATATAATTTACTTCAGATTAAATTTTTAAAAATTAAATTATCCTTAATTTTGGGTCAAATTGAATCTAATCTTTGAGCTTCAATTTCTTTCTTTTTTATTCAAGTATTTAAAATATTTTTTGGTAAAAAATAAAAAAGAATCGTTTAATTAATTAAACTATAAGTAATAGTTTAAAACACAATATATCAAAATATTATAATAATAATAATAATAATGAAAGGATAGAAACTAGGTAAATTAAATTTAGATAATTAATTTTTTATTTTATTATTTGAAACATGTTACAGCAATTATGATTTAAAATATATTTTATTTGAAAATTTATTAAAATAATAAATTTTTATTTAAAAAATTATTTTTAATATTAGTAAATGATATAAAAAAAATTAATATTTTTTTTAAATTAAAAGTACAATTTCAACGCCACGATTCTAAACAATTTTATAATACACAAACGCGTGATACACCTCTGTGTTGAGTTAATTAATTTTGCTAGGCCAATGTGGTAATTCATCCACAATTGCTTATAAGATTAGCACCTTATTTTTTAAAATATTTTTTATTTTTTAAAAGTTATTTTTAACATCAACATATCATATCAACAAGACAATCTAAAAATATTCAAAAATTTTATTTTAAAAAATAAAAAAATATTCTTTTTATATAAACATTTTGATTTAATAATAAGTTAACCAACATAGTCAAAACCTGATTAAAAAGAAAAACATGTTGAATTTTTTATTTTTTTAAATGATATCATTATGGCATTTAAAAAAAATAAATCAAAATTCAAGTAAACTCATTCAATCAATATGATATGATCCCAACCTTACACTAGTTTGACCCTAAATTAGCTTTAACAACTATGGTTCATTAAGTATTGGATCATTAGGGTATATGGCATCTTAACCATAAACATAATCTTAACCTTAGAAAAATTACTTTGATAATTACCCTTAGTTACAATTCACATCCTCTCTTGAATTGTCTAAAGAATTTAATAAAAATTATATAATTATTTACAGAATTGTTATTATTTTCATCCAGTGACTAAAGAGATACTGAAGAGTAAAATAACAAAAAATGTCAAGAAGTTACCGTTGAAGAATTCTTTTAAAAAGAGTCGTTGATTCTATTTCCATAGAATTACAAGAATACCATCCCCCAACAAGTATCTGGCAAGAATACCTCTCACCATAATCCAACTTCAAATTCTTCCTTTTTCCTCAACATTTTTAACCACAATCAAACATCTCCCAACAATCAAAAAAGAAAGCCAAACGCTGCCCCTGTAACTCAGCAACATAAACACACCATTTTCACCATAATCTTACCAAACAAACCTGCCAAATTTCCACCCAACACAGTGTACACTGCCCAAATCTCCACCCAACAATACTGCACAAGAAAGAATTACAGCAAACACATTGCCAGTCACAGCAAACATAACTTAACAACACCACTATACATTGCATGAATTTCCACCCAACACATAATCCAAAACTCATAGCAAATGCACTACCAATCATTTAAAAAAAAATACATCAAAATACTTACAGACATCATCAACATTTTGTCATCTACATCAAATGATAATAGCTTGGATGGGCTAAAGTTGAAAAATAGAACGAACATGAAACGTGGGGAAAAGT